GGGGGCGGGGGAGCCCGCACGGACACGGGTAACAAACAGATGAAAAGATGCGTTGGGGCCAGATGATGGCTTTATCCTCTCGGGTGATTGCTGTCATTTAAATGGGGAGATGAGGGATCCCTGGGTCAAAGGACAGTTTCATTTTTAACTTTTTGAGGAAACTCCCTACTGTTCTCCACAGTGGCTGCATCGGTCTGCATTCCCACCAGCAGTGCAGGAGGGTTCCCTTTTCTCCACATCCTCACAGCACTCATTGTTTGTTGATTTATGGATGGTAGCCATTCTGACAGGTGTGAGGTGATACCTCATTGTCTGTTTTAACTTGCATCTCTCTGTAGATTAGTGACCTTGAACATTTTTTCATATGTCTACTGGATACATATCCTAAGAAACCCGAAACACCAATCAGAAAGAATGTGTGCACCCCTGTATGCACAGCAGCATACTTTACCATAGCCAAGATCTGGAAACCGCCCAAGTGCCCATTAGTAGATGAGTGGATAAAAATGCTGTCGTACATTTACACCAGGGAATACCACGCGGCTGTAAAAAGAACTCTTACCCTATGCTAAGTGAAATAAGCCAGTCAGAGAAAGACGGATACCATGTGATCTCACCAAGATGTAGACTCTACTGAACAAAATAAAGTGACAAACAAAATAGAACAAAATAGAGGCATGGATACATGGAACAGCCTGACAGCTGTCAGAGGGGAGGGCCGTAGGGGCCCTGGATAAAGGAAGGTGAGGTGAGTAGCTGGAGAACATACATGCACAGCCCGTGGACATGGACAGTAGTGTGGGGGCGGCCAAAGGAAGGGGTCAGGAGCTGGGGAAAAGTGGGCAAAGTTGGGGAGTGGGAGAACATTTGCAAAATTGTCAATAATAAAGGTTTTAAATTAAAAAGAATATTAACATTGACCCATTAAAGAAACCACACAATGAATCCTAAAAAAAAAAAAAAAAAGGGGGGGGGGGGGGTATGGAGGGCAGCACTTGAGGGCCAGTGTTTCATTTGTTCAAGGACTTTCCCAGGTTTGTCAAAATGTTCCTATCTGATTTTCTTCAAGCTTCCGCCTGGTTGTCCAGCCAGGCGGGTCTCCCTGCTCCCTCCCTGCTCTCGCCTCTGTTTCCTCTCACACTCCCTGCAGAGCACCCAGCCGGCTGGCTGGGGAGGGGACCGGAACAAAAGGCGCTTCCCCCACCCACTTCTCACACCCCTGGGGGCAGCTCTCCGGGGATTTAGAGAGAAGCTGCAGGGCTTCTCAGCTCAGCAAACAGGGAGTGGCCTCTTCCTGCTGCTTAGTCTGCTGAGAAAGTGGAGATGGAAGAGCACAGCAGAGCAAGGAGAGGCGCCCTTTCCGTTCCTGCCCCCTTTTGTAGACCCAGAGTCCAGGGCCTGCCTCTCCTCGCACTCTTTGCGCCCATTGGGAAGGGCCGGGCAAACATCGTCTCAATGTGCAGTTGCTAAGGGCCAGAGTTAGGGGCTGGGGACCCACCAAGCGCACCCAGCCACCTGTGGACACCTCCTCCAGCAGGGTCACCCCCACCTTGAGTCCCCGAGAGAATTACCCGGGTGCCCTCGGGGTGGTCCGTCTGCGAAGGCTGGTCTCCTTGGCTCCCGCACCCCAGGCCCCTCTCCACACCTCTGCTTCCGGCGGAGTCTCCTGCGTGGAATTCCTTCGCCCTTTCCCACACCTGCCTCAGTCCTGCCTGAGGTTTGTTTCAGATCTCATCTCCTCCAGGAAGCCAACCCACAGGACTGCTCGGAATTCCTAAGATCTCAGTGGCCTTTAAATCTTTACTGATAAGGGACTTATTCTTTCCTTTAGCATCCGCTTCCCGATATTGTTTGCCTCTGAAGCTGTAGATTCCTGGAACGCCGGGACACTAAATCACACTTCTGTGCCTGCCATGGATCTCAGTACTGAGACCCAATACAGACCAGATACAAAATCTGAGTTCCAGTCCCTTCACACTCCTTCATCTCACTGAGGCACGCTGTCCTCCCAGAAAACCAGGATAGAAATAGTACCTACCACTTGGAGATGTTGCCGATGTTAAGTGAAACCGTAAGAAAATGTTTCACGTGCAGCAAGGGGCCAGTTGTTTTTACTATCAATTAGTAAGATAGGTGTCAAAGTGCATCCTTTTTTATTTGCTTATTTCTGTGTATATTCAATTTTAGGGTTTTACCCATCCTTGTGAGTTTTATTTATTTTTGAAACGTAAACTTCAAGCTATCCCCAAAAATCAAGTCGGAACAAAAAGATATTTCAGCAAATATTCTTTCATTCCCTCTGTCCTCCCCATTCTGTTCCCAACGTGCCCTGCAGGTGGCTGACCTCATTGTCTGTGTGTGTGTGTTTCTTTCTTTCTCTTGTCAAAGTGAGAAATGTCAAACCTGTAAGAATTTTTATGAGTTTATTTAAGCCAAACCGATGGCAATTGCGGGGAAGCAGTTTCTCAATGGATTGAGAAAATGCTCCAGAGAATGGCAGTTTTCTACCTTATTTTATATATTACACTCAAAGAGGAGGCGTGAGGAGTTACAGGAAACCCATTGGTGATAGGTCAGGGAGGCAGGAGAGAGCAAAGCAGGGGAAAGCTCTGGGATTGCATAAAATGAGTAGACAAATGCTCCCTTTATATGGTGGGTACCGGGTAGTTAACAGCTCAATTAACATGATAATGACAACAATGGGGGGTTTGTGGTCTCTGCTCTGGTGCAGGCGGTTATGCTTTCAGGAGTCCGAATAAAAGGAAATTACTTTGATATTCCACAGGTATGTTATCAGGTATGTTATCGTAAATGCAAAAAAAGACAACAGGCAGGCTCAGTCAAAAAATAAAGATTGACCTTTGTGAGGGAAAAACACCGGCCTAGGACACCAACTGCTTTTTTTAAGTATTTACTTTTAAATTTTTATTTATTGATTTTGAGTGAGAGATAGAGAGAGAGATTGATTTGTTGTTCCACTTAACTATGCATTCATTGGTTGCTTCTTGTATGTGCCCTGACCAGAGATCAAACCCACAATGTCGGTGTACCCGGCCAGGGCCTCAGGAATGGCTTTTAGTTAGAAAGTTTTCATTTCAGACCATCCTCTGTGGTTGCTTTAGGTCTCTCTCTGAGTCTGCAAGGCCGCCATACAGGCCTCCCCTGAGCTTGTCAGGGAGAGTGCGTGGCCCCTTTTCACCCACTGTTCCTTTTTCCTTCAATTAAGGGGTAAATGCCCTTGTCTCCCTCTCTCAGATGATATTCTCACCTGCAGTTTCAGGCCCCTTTGCACGCGCTGCTTGGGGGCGCTGGGAGCAGGGCTCTGGGATTGTGGGGTTAGTCACGGAGAGGGTGAGCTCATGTCTTCACGTGGCTGGCTCCACCAAAAGCACTTGCTCCCGGTCCCCAGGGCGTCGCCCTGGCTGGTAATGGGGCCACAACCCTGCTCCTGCTCCCCGGGAGGCCGAGACCTCACTTTGCGCCCCCCTGTGGCGCTGACCCTCCAACCAAGGGCACAGGGCCAGGCTGCCCGCCTCCGTCATTGCTCGGTGAGATGGGAGGGGTCGCGGCTGAAGGGCTCCTGGGTGCTTCCCAGTAGGACCTCCTTCTAAGGAGGAAAAACCCCAAGTAAATAAAGGTTCCCGGCCACAGGGAGGTGGGCAGAGGAAGCGGCGCCGCAGCAGGGGAATTCGCTGGAAACAGTGGACGGAGGGCCTGTCTGGAGTCGCGCTGCCCGCAGCCAGCTCGGAGGCTGACTCACCGCTCGGAACAGGAGTGTCCTGGGCCCGGACACCGCTGTCTCCAAACAGGATCGGGGGCCGAGGAAGGAAGCGCAGCCGCCGGGGGCTGGCAGACCTGGAAGCTCCGACCCCCACAGTTGGCAGCTCGCTGTTTAAGGTGAAGGGGAGGCCGGGAGGCAGCGTCCCAGCACAGGCCACGGCCGTGGGGCATTTTGCACAGTCAGAGTAGCAGTTGCATTTGGGAGCTTTTGCACAGGCTTGTCTCTCCCGTCCACTGCAGCCCCCTGCCCTCCATACCCCTCTCCTCACCCTAAGTGGGCTTCACGATTTAGGGTCCCTGGTGCCTTGAGAGTTATTTGAAATGGCGACCCCTGGACTAGCAGCTCCCAGGTCCCTTCCTGCTCTGGGGCTCCAGGAGTCTATCCTCCAAGAAGCAGATGCTGAACAGTTAGGAGAAACGGGGCCAGCAGCCTGCACTGGGTGAGAAGCCAACGCCCCTTCGTCCCAGGATCCTCTCAAAGGTGAGCGTGGCAGGGTGCCAGGCCCAGCATCTGCCAGGCAGGACCCAGCTCAGGGAGAATCCACAGCAGCTTTTCACAGCCTCCCAGAGCGCCCTGTTTCGCTAGGGCAGCTGCTGCCAGTGAGCTGGCATCGTGCCCAACCGCCAGTGGGCAGCCAGGGGCTAGGTACCCATCTGCCCTATTTCCTAAGCAGGCGGCGAGGAAAGTGTTCTCGGGCCCCGGCTGCCCTCTGCCGGGCAAGCTCAGCAGCTGCTGCGGGCCGGAGGCAACCGGAAAACCCAGCGGGGAAGGGCGCCCCTGCCTGGCTACTCCGCCCGTTTGCAGCGGGAAGGGGAAGATGGGGCCTTCGCTCTCCGGCCCCCTTCCCGGGAGGCGTGGCCTCTCCTAGTGGTACCGGTGCCTCTAGAGGTCTCTAGTAAGACAGTGTCAGGTAAGTCTTCTATGTTTAAACAAAATGATTTTTCTTAGGGCCTGACACGCCATGCGTTCTGTAAGTATTCATTAGATACGTAAGGAGGTCAGCTCTTCCCGTTAGAAACTGCTCCGGGCTTTGTTCCGGAGAGCAGTGACAGTTCCCTTCCCTCTACTGGAAATTCCTCTACGGACAGGTCCTTCCACAGGCTGCCCACACTCCAGGCCGCCT